AGAACACTAATGCAGCATCTTAAGTGCAGCGAAGTGGAGCCTTAGTGTCTACTCCAACATCCCAAATGACTGCTGGAGCAATCTCTGGCATGTGGAACCTCAAAAAATAAATAAATAAAACATACAAAAGTCTACTCCAAACATCAATGTAACAAATTTAATCACCAAATATACATATACACTGAGTTGCCCTGAAATATTAACAAGGTTTGGAATCGCTCATCTAAAGCATTTTATTCTGTTAAGTATTTTTCTAAATGAATGTGAAACATTGTAAATTCTGAAGTGGTACTTATTAAATTATTTCCTGTAAGGACACCTACCCTGGCTAATATTGCAATAAGCCCTTTTCGGCAATTTTATAAACATAACCTTGTATCTGCAAAGTAATTCCAACAGTCCATTAGTTATTCATATAACAATGCCGAAATGTATGCACTTTTCAATTTGATTAGAATCCAGGTCAAGACTTAAGGAATGTTAGAACTGCAGATAAGAGGCCTGCACTTACTAGAAGAATGGCCACAATTATTTCACCTACCCAGAAGAACCTGGCTAAGTTACCTTCTCAAAAAAATGGGAATAATAATAGTGGTGCTACTTATCTCTCCCAACTATATAGAGGAAAGCATTCAGCAAACCTCGAAGCATTGAAATGGAAATAGTTATGGTTGTTATGTAGGTGTCTATGACTGTCACAGAAAACTTCAGAGCGTAGGCATTTCTTTCTGGACTGGGAATACATTAGGGTGGAATTGTCCAATGCAGAAGAACACACCTATATGAAAACGATATGGCTCATAACTATTAGACCTCTTAAAAAGCTGTCAAGCCCATATTTATTTTACATTTTACAAAGGACCTATACAAGAGAAAATATTCTCTAAAATGCTAGATTTGGAGCTACAGATTATAAAGTCCTTGAGGACAAAGGCACTAATCTAGCCTCTCTTACCCTCATTTTCCTCATCTGTGAAACAAGGGGGTTGGGCTAGATGATTTCTATGGTATCTTTCTGGTCTAAAAACCTAGGATATCTAAACTTTGGCAGAGCCCACAATTAAACTATTTCACACTACATATTGTGTAGTTTTTGTAGTACATGTAGTATATACTACATACGCAGTATGTATACATACTGTGAGTTTACCTTAACAGTTCAAAACAAAAGTCTAATATTTCCATATTTTACCAGAGTAAAACATAAAAGAAATGTTTTGCACAGATTATGTTGAAGCAAGTGAGTGTTGAAGTGTTATGTTGAAGCAAGCAAAATAATGCTTCTTTTAAAAGCTTCGATAGTTTTAAAAATTTCAACACTACACATAAATATCACCAATTTTATTCATGTTTGTTATTAAAATGTAATCAAAACAAGATCAAAAGGATAAATAAAGGGAAACATAAAATTCAAGGTAAGATTTGAAAATTCAGGATTTTAGACCAAACAATTACATCCCATCAAGTGAGATCTGATCCACAATTATACTGAACAATTAGGAATTCCATCAAAACAATATGATGAAAATAGCACAGAAAGCAAAGAGAGCTATATTCTAGAGAACCATAATGATTTGATATCAGCCCTTGGGAATACATGCTTAGTCATATGCATTTTGATCAATGAGTTATATATAAAGATATTGATGGCTTGATTATCAATCACTCAAAAAAAGCACTTAATAAATTTGTAGATGAACCAATAGGCAATTCCAACACAATCAAGATTCAAAGTTTTTGATAGGTTAAAATGTTGGACATAAGATCTATGCAACAAGTATTTAAGTACCTACCTGTGCCAGGCACTATACTAGCACAACGGACATAAAGACAAAACTACACACACACACACAAAATACAAAGTAATTTTGAGGAGCAAGGGCATTACTAAGGAACAAAGAAGGCATAAATCAGTATAGGTCTCATGCAGGAAAGGAGTTAGGGATTCTAAGGAGGTGGCAATGTATTCCAGGTACGGAAGATTACCCTATGCAAAGGCACAGAGGTGGAGGATGTTTAAAAGCGTAAACGGAATAGCAACAGATGCAGTTTAAATGGAAGCAATTTAGTAAAGGAACTCAAGTTCTTGCCATATACTGATCAGTAGATGAAGGACGCGGGGAGTTAAGGGTGGAGGAAACTGGATTTAGGATTAGCCATTTTCATGCATTTTAAGGGTTGTTACATGGAAGAGATATTAGACTTTTTCTTTCTGGCCCCAGAGGGCAGATCTAGGACCAAGGAGTAGGAGCTTAAAAAAAAATCGTAGCTAGGCTCAATTAAAGAAAAATTAGCTAATCTAGCCATTAGAACCATTAAAAAGTGGAATTGCTAAGTGGGTAGAGCATTCCCTCTCACCGGAAGTATTCAAACACATAACCAGTTAGTATGATACAGAAACGATTCTTTTTTTTATCTTTCAAGAAATTTTTTTTAACTTTATTAATTTATTTTGATTTATCAACAATCACTTCCATAAGTTTTTGAGTTTTAAAATTTTCTCCCCCTCCCTCCTTCCCCAAAATGGCAAGCAATCTGATACAGGCTATACATATACATTCCTATTAAACATATTTTTACATTAGTGATGTTGTAAGAAAGAATTAGAGCCAATAGGAGAAACCACTAGAAAGAGGAAACAAAACACAACAGAAGAAAAAAAAATAGCAAATAGTATGCTTCAATCTGCTTTCAAACTTCATAGTTCTTTCTTTGGATGTGGATAGCATTTTCCATTGTGAGGCCTTTGGAGATGTCTTAAATCCTTGCATTGCTGAAAAGGGTTAAGTCTATCAATATTAGTCACTGCACAATGTGGCTATTACTGTGTACAATGTTCTCCTGAGTCTGCTCACTTCACTCCGCATCAAACCACACAAGCCTTTCCAGGTTTTTCTGAAGTCTGCCTGCTTATCATCATACAGAAAGGATTCTTGTTCAGGCATAAATTGGACTATTTGGACACTTGAGAATTCTTCCGATTCTGAGATTCTGTGATTCTACCACTAATTAGAGGTGTGGCTTTGGACAAACCATTTAACCCGGGGAGGCAACCAATTCCTAATCTGTCACTAATCAATAAATATATATTAAGCAGCTAGCAACACTGTACTTTAGGGATTGAGGTTAAATAAAAGTCAGCTATCCTAAAACAAGTGGTGGAAAGGATGAAGTAGACTATCTCTAAACTTTTAAGTCTAAAATACCATAGTTCCAATTTTGAAAGATGCTGAAACTATGCCAAGGAAAGAAATGTTCTATTTTTTCTTAAGAGGTATATTCTGAATATAAGTTTTCAATTTTAAATGTTCAATAATCACTTTCTTGAGCAGATGTTTGTTCCACAAATGGGCTGTTAAAAACAAACAAACAAACAAACAACACTCAGATGCCCCAAATGTATTCTTAAAAGTTAACACAAACTTTTACACTCATTCCAAGAAACACAATTCCAAATGTGCTCTGACAAAATTATCTCAGTACTGGGGCTGCTGCTTGGTGTCAAGGCTCCCTCGGACTCTGAAGATAAAACTCCCCACTCCTTCATAACAGAGACATAATGGGCCACAAGAATCAGCCTTACCCTCTCATCTAAATTTTGCAGGCAATGTTTTACTGCAGTTCTATATCCTGTACCACGCCTTGAACACTGGTGACACACCCACTAACAATTACAACAGGCAAGCTGTAATTAAACAGCTTCCTCGGACCACCCAACCACCTTCTCTTATTTCCCTCTTCCCTTAATACAACAGGTCAAATCTAGCTTAAAACTGTCTAAGTCACCATATAGAGGAAGCTGACATGGACAACAAAGTGTAGAACAAGGCTTCGTAGTAACCTCAGCCTAGAATAAGTCATTTATTTATTTACTGAAATTGATAAGGACACAAAGTGTAGACTAGAAATTTCTATTAACCTTAGCCTAAAACATTCCAAAGAAGTCACTCATTTTTATAGGAAACTGGTGTGAACACAAAATACAGACAAAAGGTTCTTAACCTAAGCCGAAAACAATCCAACTAAGTTACCCCCCCCCCTTTTTGAAGTGGGAACTGATGAGGTGAAAAGTGTGGAGAAGGGAGGTTCTTAACCTTAGCCTAAAACAGTCGAACTAAGTCACTTTTTTTCCGTAGGAAACTGGTGTGAACGAAAAGTGTTGACAAGAGAATCTTAACCTAAGCCTAGAATACTCCAACTAAGTCAACCTTTATAGGAAATTGATGAAGACTTAACGTGTAGTCACGGGGTTCTTAACCTTAGGCTGAAACAATCCAACTAAGTCATTCATTTTTATAGGAAACTAGCCTGGACACAATGTGCTGACAAGAAGTTCTTAATCGTAGCCTAAAACAATCCAACAAGGTCAATTTTTTAAAACTGGAAACTGACGTGGATGGAGTGTCGACAAGAGGTTCCATAACCTTAGCCTAGAACAATCCAACTAAGTCGACCTTTTTTATAGGAAAGTGACATACACGGCAAGTGTAGACCTGGGGTTCTTCCCCTTTCTGTATCATGCCAGTCTGATATGCCGTCTGATGAAGTCTACAGACCCTTTTCGGAATGCTTTTCCATTACATCAGGAGCTCCTTGAGAGCAGGGACGTTTGGTTTGATTTGTCTTTCTTTGTATTCCAGGGCTTAACAAGGTGCCTGACACGTCGCAAATGCTTAGTTACTGCTTGTTCACTTGATTAAATGCACCACACGAGTAGGCTTACAAAGGCAACCAATTACATTGACATAAAGTTATTTTTTTTTTTCAGTTCCCGGACTCCAGGTTAATTGAGCAGCGCTCCCGTAGCCAGCCCACACCACCGCCCTCTCGGCACCGGCAGATCAGCTGCTACCTCCCCGACCCGGGTGGGGTGAGGTCGGGTCGGGTCCCCGAGGGCCAGCACCTGCACGACCCGCGCCAGAGGGGTGGCGGCCGAGGGCCCAGGCCGGGGGGCGACGAGCCCCGCCGGAGCCGGGGGAAGGGCGCGGGCCTCGCGGTACCTTGAGTCCAGCGGCAGAAGATGGTGTCGGAGAGGCCGGGGCTGGTCTTGGGGCCCCACACCAGCTCCATCAGCTCTTTCGTCAGTTCGGACATGATGAAGTGCCGGCGAGCAGGTTTTCGCTTCCAGGCCTCCCGCCCCGAAACATGGGGACTGGGGAGGCTGGGAAGGCTCGGGCTGAGGCAGCGGTGGTGAAGTGGAGGAGAAGAACGAGGAAGAGAAAAAGGAGAAAGAGAAGGAGTAAAGCAAGGAAGAAGGAGAGGGAGGAGGAGCGGAAGGACGATGGAAGGCACCGGGCACTTCTGCACGGGATGCGGCGCCTGTCAGCCCAGCCACCGAGCCGAGTTTCCTCAGGACCGGAAGTTCTCCTCCGCCACTTCCTCCCCTTTAGTCACACCCACCCGTCAGAGCTCGGGAGGTGGGGGCGGTTTCGGCGCGTCCTCCCCGGAAGCGGAAGTGATGACAAAGCGCTTGAGGCGCTCGTTCCTGCTTGATGGTCAGGGAGCTGTCCAACCCGCTCCCACCTTTGGTTTAGGGTGAACCGAGATTAGCAAGAGGTGGGGGTTTCTTTGGGGGAACACTTTCCAAGGCTCACCTGGGGGCAAGGTCCGACCTCCCTTAGTCTATAAGAGTATTATTATTTTATGATAATAATAATGTTGTTTTGTCGTGTCCGACTCTTCGTGACCCCATTTGGGGTTTTCTTGGCAAAGATACTGGGATAGTTTGCCGTTTCCTTCTCCAGCTCATTTGACAGATGAGGAAACTGAGGCAAACAGGGTTAAGTGACTTGCCCAGGGTCACACAGCTAGGAAGTATCTGAGGGCAGATTTGAACTCACGAAGATGAGTCTTCCAGATTCCAGGGTCAGCACTATCCACTGTGTCACCTAGTTGCCTGAATAATAATAATAATCATAATAATCATAACAAATTTCATTTATGTAGCACTTTAACAAAGCGTTTTACAAGTATTTTATGCTCACAGCAACCTGGGAGGTAGGTGCTCCTATATAGTAATAAAAAATAATCCTCATTTTTACAGACGAGAAAACGAGACAGATATTGTCCATGCTCTCTGTTCCCCACTGGAAATAGTTTTCAGCAAAAGAGTATAAAAATTGAAGACAGAAGGACTAGAATGGCAGAGGTGGAAGGGGGAGGATGAAAAAGAATCAGACACAAATTGGGCATTTTAACCTTGTCAAAGGATGGACATGTACCTGACCATTGAAGAATCCAACTCCTCCTTTGTGCTCTTTCTTCATTTTACTAAATTGTGAATGTTAGGTATTGTCAGTGGCAGTAGTCGGAGCACTCAGATAGCAGTAGTGTGACTTATCGTGGTATACTGGATAAAGAGCCAGTTGGAGTACAGAAGTCCTAGGTTCAAAGTCTTTGACACCTACTGGTTGAGTAATGGTGGGCAAGTCATTTAATTTCTCAATGCCCCTAAGCAACTTTTGTAGAAAAAGCCTCTAAACCTGGATCCATGGGACTTGAATATAATTTGAGCTCTGTCACTTTCTGTGTAGAACCTAAGCTGGTTACAACCTCTAGGAATCCTTAGGCAATCCTGGTGGAAAGACCTCATCCACAAGAATTTGAATCCAAATTTGGTTCTACCTTTTAGTACTTGTGTGGAGCAAGTCCTAAACTCCCTGGGCTCCTGCTTCCTCAGGTGGAATTTGGACTATGTGACCTATGTCTGAGGTTTACAAGTCTAATTCTACAAGCCTATGAATTGCAAATGGTTGCTCCTATATTTCCTGTTTAAACTTGAATGTAAATTATCATTGGTTTGGTGTGTGGTTATAAGGTAATAACATTGGGCCAGGTGACAATGATTAATTCAGAAGCAGTTGTTATAGATAGGCAAATATGGGAAATGAAAGTATTCTAAAAATTAACATGAAGTCAAGTCATCAAAAAACATTTGTTAAATCCCTACTATGTGATAGACATAAGTGTTAAGTGCTGAGGATACAAAGAAAGAAACAAAGAAAAACAGTCCCTACACACAGGGAGTTCACAATCTAATGGGGGACATGATATGAAAAAAAAAACTATGTAGAAACAAGTTGGAAGTATTCTGAGGGAAAGCACTAACATTAAGGGGGACCAAGAAAGGCTTATTGCAGAAGGAGAGATTTTAGCTGACACTTAAAAGAAGCCAGGCAAGTCAGGAAGTGCATATGAAGAGAATGAGAATTTCAGATATGAGGGACAGCTTGTGAAAATGAATGGTTGGGAGATGGAGTATCTCGTGCAAGTAGCCCAGGATCATTGGATCATAGAATATGTGTAAGGGAATAAAGTCTAAGAAGACTGGAAATATATGAACAGGGATTTGAAGAAAAGAGTTATGGAGGGGTGATGTGATATAGTCAGACCTATATTTTAGGAAGATCACTTTGATAACTGAATGGCAAAGGGACTAAAGAGGGGAGAGACCTGAGGCAGAGAGGCCAACTAGAAGGTTATGGTAGTAGCCTTAGAGCAAAAGGGGAAAGCATTTGCCCTATAATTTTCCTTGTTATTGTTTTAGGATAAATCAGGAAAATATGAGTGAGTAGATATTAATGAAATGTTTCTACTTGTTCATTCTAGGTTTCAAGACAGAGTATCACCACTTTCGAAGTATCAGAGAAATAATTTTTATGTCTTTTTGCCAAAGTTGATATTATTATAACTGCTAGATTCCACATCTTGAAAGATAATAAAGCATCTTCTGTGCCATGGCAACCTATGAAAATAATTTTACTATGAAAATGTATTATTCTGTCTCTTAACAAATCTATAGTTTAGGTTGTTACTCTTATATAACTTTGTAGTACTCCTTTAGATATGATGATTCAATTTGCCATGAAATTAGATTAATTGAAGTAGAAGACAGTATTTTCTACCCAAACCCACAATTCACAAAGTGCAAGATAACTTGTGTTTTCTTAGTATATAAAATTAGACCAGGTGTCTTGATAACAGCTATTGGCTTGTAAGAATCAACGACAATTGTGGATAGGTTTGCTTCTTCTTTTCAGTCTTATTTTTTTTCTTTTTTTTACAGAATTCTTCTGTTAGATTATGAGTAGGACATGACAATGGCAAATATTGGGTAAGTGTGTTTCTACTTATTTTATATCTTTATTGATATTGATAAAAGATAATTTAAAAAACCAGTTAGCTCTGCAGTTACTTCTTTCAAGTAATGTTTTATAATATGCTAACATAAGCATGGTAGAAAGCTTGTTGGAGATGAGCCTTTACAGCTATGTTTTGCTCTTCTGAGTCAAATATGTTTTGTAATTAACAAATAGTAAACACAGTAGGATCTTGTATGCTACATACTTTTCAGTCACAAATATATGAGGATGTGGTCTGTCACAGAAAATCATCCCAGACAGCCTGATAACAGGCATGCATTTTTATCAAGGATAGCCTAAATATGTGTGTAGGCCATTTTCATAATCATATAAAGATGAGAAAATTGTCACACAGACAAATAGTAAGTAATATACTTTCAATCACTTTATTTTTGGAAATTATAATTTCATTATTTGGCATCTTCTTCAATATATCTTGATAGTGCTTTTAAAACTGTCAGATTGGTAGGCATAAGTTGTAGCATGTTAGGAATAATGATTTTCGTGTAAGCAAGGGATCCCCTCCCAGAAATGTATGACTAGAAAAAGGGGTAAGCTGATTATGATATAGAGAGCAAAGAATAACCAATAGATAAATTGTGTGCTATACTGGTATCATAAGATAGAAAAATACCTTGAGGATGGCTTTAAGCATGGCAACTTGATCTACGAAGGACTTATGGGAGAATATGTACAACATAAGACATAGATTTGGTATAACCTGTACCAATGGAAAGATGGCCTATGTCAACATGATGGATATATTATTGTACTAAAGTATTTATATGTACAAAATGATTTAGAATTATTTTATTAATTGCCATTAATGACTCTCTTTCAAAGTTAATCAGTATTATTATATCTTATAATAGTCATAGAAAGAAGCAATTTGGAGCAAACTTTGAAAATGGTTCCAGGAAATCAGGCAGAGCTTCCAGTAACAACTGGCCTTCTAGCTTTCCTACCTATAGTGCAGAATCCTTTTGTGTGTACTTGAGCTGGTTGTCCCAATTTCATTTTCTTAAGTACTGGATTTGGAGTGAAAACACCTGAATTAAAATTCTATCTCTGCCACTTACCAACTGTGTAACATTGAGCAATGTTAATTTTTAGGCCTCGGTTTCTTCATATGACAAATAAGGGGGTTGGTCTAGACATTGAAGGTACTTTTGAGCTCTCAGTGCATGATCCTTGGTGCATCTCCTTCCTTACATGCCGTATCATGTTCTGGGGTTTTAAAATCCAAATATGGCAGAGATCAATAATAAGAATTGATAATTATAGAAATGCTGATGTATCTTATCTGTGCTGTTTATTTACTTTCACTCTAATTCTAAGTATAAACCTTCTTGGGATGATTTCCCTTAATTATTTCTCAGACTCATTTTTTTACTTGTGGTGGGAGGATTATTCTAAGGCTCTGTCCCATGCAGATTAGGCTAGTTTTTTTCTTAGAAGGTATTGCAGCTATCCTTGAGATTTAATTGGCTCATCATGTTGATTTGCCTTCCTGGTCTCCTGGGGTACAAGAAAACATGAGGATCTAACTGGGCCCTGAGGTTTGATGGACAAGGCTGGCACAGGTAGGACAGAGGTAGAACATATCTTTTTGCTGCTATGGCTAAGTACATATTTGTTAACTGTCAAATTTTATATGAGTATTTCCACTTCATTGCAGTAGTGAACCTAAATTACTAGAGGATCAGTACTTCCTATAACACTCCACTTTTTTTTTTGTTGTTGTTTTGTGAGATGATACTGCTTGTAAAATCTTCTGTTCTTTCTAATGTTTTATGACTACACTAATTTAGTGGCATTTGGCTATTCTGTCTCTCTGCTTGTCAGAGAAAACAAGTGTTTGTTGACTGAGATGTTTTTGGACTCTATTGACTTTCTTCCTTCTTGATATCAGCTAAACTTCTGTAAGAAAAGTGATAGTCTGATTTCATATATTAAGTTTATCAATTTCTCATTTTTTTTAGCATTAAGATCTTGTTTGGGTAGGCTAGGATAAAACTGTTCTAATTCATGAAATTTCTTCTTATTTTAATCTTTCTTTTAATTTGATTTTGATGTTGACATTTACTCTAATTTATTGGTTTGCCTGCACATAGCTTTTTAGAAATTACTCTTAGGCCAGTTACCAATCACTTCCTACCTGTTAAGTTAGAGTCAGTTTCATTTTGTTGTGTTAATATTCCTTATTCCCCATGTCCAATGATTTCTTACTCTCTTCTTTTGAATATGGAG